AAACAATATCAAAAATATGCCAGATATATGTTTCAAAAACTAGAAACAATTTCAACAATATACCAGAGACATATTTCAAAAACTAGAAACAATTTCAACAATATACCAGAGACATGTTTCAAAAACTAGAAACAATTTCAACAATATACCAGAGACATGTTTCAAAAACTAGAAACAATTTCAACAATATACCAGAGACATGTTTCAAAAACTAGAAACAATTTCAAAAATATACCTGAGGCATGTTTCATAATTTCATGTGCCGAGGAAATCAAACTGTCAATTTGAGTGTGATGGTCAGCTATTTCTTCATTAAGTTCCTGTTGAAAAATGAAAATTTATATTAAATAATTCTTAATAACATAACTTGGTCAATATAGATTAATAAACTAACACCTAATAGTTTAAGACATTAAATGTGTAACATTAAATCAGGAAACAATCATCTAGTCTATGTGTAACATTAAATAAGGAAACTATTATCTAGTCATTGTACAGTATCAGTCTAGGTTAAACTATTATCTGGTCTTTGTACAGTATCAGTCTAGGTTAAACTATTATCTGGTCTTTGTACAGTATCAGTCTAGGTTAAACTATTATCTGGTCATTGTACAGTATCAGTCTAGGTGAAACTATTATCTGGTCATTGTACAGTATCAGTCTAGGTTAAACTATTATCTGGTCATTGTACAGTATCAGTCTAGGTTAAACTATTATCTGGTCATTGTACAGTATCAGTCTAAGTTAAACTATTATCTGGTCATTGTACAGTATCAGTCTAAGTTAAACTATTATCTGGTCTTTGCACAGTATCTGTCTAGGTTAAACTATTATCTAGTCTATTATCCTGTGTGTTACATCAATCTAAGTTAAACAATTATCTGGCCTGTGTGTTACATCAATCTAAGTTAAACAATTATCTGGCCTGTATGTTACATCAATCTAAGTTAAACAATTATCTGACCTGTGTGTTACATCAATCTAAGTTAAACAATTATCTGGCCTGTGTGTTACATCAATCTAAGTTAAATAATTATCTGGCCTGTGTGTTACATCAATCTAAGTTAAATAATTATCTGGCCTGTGTGTTACATCAATCTAAGTTAAATAATTATCTGGCCTGTGT